CATAGTTTTGTTGAGCTTTTTTTTCTGTCAGCTTTCCTTTTTAGCCTGACCTCGCCTCCTTCTTACTCGAGAAACCCCTTGAGGCCTCTGACACATGGTAAAATGAGACTAGTTGGAAGTCCATCAGACTGACTCATCACACTCATTGAGAGTCTGCAGTGTTGCTGGGAACACAGTGAGGTGATGTCAGACAAAGGATTTAATGATCACCAAAAGGGAACAGAGGAGGATCAACCCGTCAAGCATTTACAGTATTTCCCTTAACTAATTCTGGACCAAACCGAATAATGTTTTTGGATTCTAGAAATTCAGGCTCAAACAAAGTGCGACAACAAAAATATTTATTGACAGAAAAGTGGTGCACTTTTAGTAGAACAAACAGAAATCGCTGGTCACAAGGAGCCAGGAGAAAAAAATTAATTAATAAAAGCTCTTGCAAAAGACAAGATACTAGGGAGCCACCAAGAATAAATAAACAAAATGTCAAGGAGGCAAAGAGCAAAAGCAATAAGAAAAAATAAAAATACTTAAGACTTCAAGACTCTATGAATAAAGAGAGCAACAATGGAGAGTATCGAGAGGCCGAGGAAACACTTGAAGCACTCCAGGGAGCAAGGTCAATAATCCGACAAGAGACTAGCCACCTTGGCAGTCCTAAAATACTTGGCAGACTTGATTGGTAAATGCTGGAAGGACACGCCCTTCACTTCAGCTGGGGCTGAAAACAAATCACACTTTCGAACTAACACTTTAGGGTACAACAAAAAAACCAAAATTTTTCCACAACACTGCAGTGAATGTTTACTATTGCCATGAGCAAAAGAAACACTCCTAAAAGTTTCAAGATATTGTGCTTAAATGTCCATATCATAAAGGAAATCATCTTTTCAATTATTCCATCTGGCATATAAAATACGTAGTAACCCATCCAAAAAGAGTCAAGCTGTTTCGGTTTAAAGCTCCTTGGTATAACTCCAGATGTTGAACGCACGATGTTACCTAAGATGAATCTGATTGCAATCAAATTAATCCTCAGCAGATGAGTAGCTGAAAAAAATACATTTAAAAAGTAATTACATTTTCCTGTAAAATGCGTCCTGTTTGATTTCCCTAACTGACATTGAAAAGATTTTTCCCATTCAGTGTGAATTTGCTGGTATGAAGAGTCATCGCAAAGCTCATTCTGACACATTTCCGTTAAGGACATTATAAAAGGAAATGGCCTGAAGATGTCCCATGGGTGGACATTTTAACAAGCTCTAGATCCTACAATATTAAGGAGTTTGCACTCAAACACGTGTGATAATGTGTGAGTGTCAAGTGGCCTCTTTTTTGTGGGGGGGTGTACAAGTTATTTTTTAACATTCCTTCAGGCTCTTGACGTGTGTGCCAAAACCGACACTATAAAGTATGCGCAAAGCATGGAAAATAAGACAGTGCTGTTTTTGTATGAATACATTTGAAAAAAATGCTACTTCAACGATTATGTCAATGCAACCAATTTATTGTTTCTTCTAAAGACTCAGCTATCGACCGAGACACCAAAAATATGTCTTCCCTTCAGATAGCCCAATGGCATGGCCACTTAAGAGTGCCTCATAGTTGGCCATAAGTGTGTGTACATGTCACGCAGCGAGTGTGTAGACCAGGGCTTCAGGCTGGTCCTGTCGATTGCAAATGCCTCGTTCTTGCCGTGTGAAAAAGCCCTGCAACAAGCCGGTGGGATATATTCCACCCATTGGGGGACTTTAAGTGGATATACAGTACTGTAATTTCACAGCTCAAACTTGTAATTATGCGTAGGCATAAGAAAGATTTTAGACTAAGCAGTATTTCCTTTTCCAGGTCTAACTCTTGGCAATTTTTTTGAAGTCATTAAAAATTTGACTAGGCTCTTAACAGCACTCATCTCTGGTTTGTAAAACGTAGTTCATTTATTTATTTTCACTTTACTGGGATTTTCATGCTCATTTGTGCTAGGCAGCTTTGTTTCATGACCCTGGAAAGCCTCCAAAAATTGACAGGTTCTTCTGGTTCTCCACTGTACAATGGGCATGCTGCTCTGAAAACATATCATCTTGCAGAGATAGCTAGCCGGCTAGCTAAACGTAGCCATAATATCAGAAAATGCATTCAGGAACTGTTTAACATCATGCCATAAAACTGTTTCTAGACTTTTCAAGCAGTCTCTGACAACAGATTTTTTTTTTACTGTTCTCTCGTCTCGTCGGCAGATATTTGGAACACACGTTGTTCCCTTTTGGTCCTGTTTGCACTCGCTGTGTGCTGACATTGCAGCACATTTCTCACCATACTTGCTTGTGTCAACGCGCCCAAGTGTAGCGTAAGCAAAGGAAAGCTTAATGCTTTTGGTCTTGTGTGGGCCATGTGCTGCTTTTATTTTAAGAGCATATTGTTTGTGCTCTATTTCTCCGTGTTTCACCTCTGTGTAACCTGGATGCTGCAACAGTAGTGTTGATGTGTCATGGTAATGTAACACAGTATAGCCTATTATGGGAAGATATTAGTGGATCAATTTAGGAATGCTGTTGGGCAAGAGCCAAACCAAGAGTGCTATTTCTAAGAGGTATTGTTTTGATAGTCGTTTGCTCGTTGGTGTGTTTGTTATGGCAGGATTCTAAAGGAATTACACAGTCAATTGCCAGATTGTGGAGCTGTGGCCCATGTGCCGAGAATGAACCGTTCAATTTTAATGCATTCGTTTATTTATATATTTGAATTCGGAATCAGCAATGGTACAATCCCTTTTATATTATCTTGTTCAAGTATCCTTTGTTTAAAGGTTTGTAACATCACCACCAATACGATTAATTAGCATATCTATGGCGTTTTGCATTGTTTGTCAGAATTAAGGAGCTGTTTATTAAGACAAATATGTGGTTGTTATAACTACAGAATAAGGAATTTTCTTTGGTTTATGTTAAGTTTGACAGTCAACCTGAGTGTGGAACCAAATCGACTGAAGCATTTTTCAGAAAAAGAAAAAAAAAACAATTCCCATTTGCCAAACCGCTGCTTTTTGTGAAGTGAATCGTGTTCAATGTCATCATACAGCGCTCAAATCACTTATTTTTTACTCCAATCCTGGCAAATAACCAAGAACAAAAGCGTGTGAGTGATTCCCAGCTCATATTCTCTCAGCCTCTTCTTAGAAATGAGAGGAAAGATTCAATGAGCCGTTCAGCTACCTGCTACCTTAAATTTCTCCCTTGATTTCATTCAGTCTGAGGGAGCGTTCAATAAAAGCTTCTACCAGCACTTCACCCACCACAATTTCCACTGCAGCCTACTTTGAAATTAAAACATGTGAAAGGGAATCCAAACAAAGGAGTTAGGGCAACTTCCCACACTTAAACGAGGAGGAAGCAAGTCATGACTTTGAGAAGTTAGCCAGGAAACCGCCCCCCCCACACACACACACACATATACACATACATACATACATATACATATATATATGTATATATATGTATGTATATATATATATATGTATGTATATATATATATATGTATGTAT